GAGTATGGAGGGATGGACACTGGGAAGAGGTAACTATGGGGAGGAAGTGGGAGGGGAGCTGCTGCATTGTGGTAAACTGTGGTCAATGACATGCGACAATGTATATGTGAACTGCTGTATGGAAAGTGAATTTGCTCTGTAAATCTTCACCCAAATCAAAGTAAAATAAAATTTAAAAAATATATATATATAACCATCTCCTATGTTATTAAATGTTCTTAGGAAACATTTTTGGCTGCAGTAGTATTCTCTCTGTTAAGCAATTTATTCAGCATTACTTTCGGACACTTAGTTACTTGTACATTTTGCTATTGGAAATAACACTTGGTTAGCTGTCCTTGTATGCAAGTCTGTCCACAGTCCCATGTGCCCTAGAATAGATGAATTTAAGTGTGATCATTAAGTGGGAGTCAATATGTGTAAGATATAATATTATCAAGTTACTTTTCATGAAATTGTGTCAATTTATATTCTCTTATCCTTATAAGCATTGTTTTTGAACTTATTTTCTTTGGATACTTCCCAAACCCCAGGGATGAGTTAAGAGGATTCAGATAGCTACAGTAGGTAAAAGACCAGTCAGTCCAGAGAGACAGATACCAAGTGAAGTTTAGAGAGGAGGTGAAGGGCATCATGAGCCTTGGCAAGCCCCTTGTAACTACCCCAACCGCTGAAGAAGTCCTTGTGTGGAGCACTTCCAAAAGGACACTTCTCTTTAACAGTTTGTCAAATGTCAAGTTAGCTGCCTAAAAGTAGTAGCATTCACAAATAAGTAAAGTTCTTGTGATCCCAGGAGGGCACTTTTAATTTGAATAAGGCTTTGTTTATTAGAGTAGTCCAGCTGTAATTTATTTGTTCATTTTAACAAATAAGTATTTATTGAGGGCCTTCTCTATACTTAGCCCAGTGCTGGCTGATGAGAATACAAAAGAAGCAGTTCCCATCCCTCCAGGACTTTATAATCTAGCTGTGAAGAATAAGAAATAGACACTTGAAAAATACAAGCAAGAATGCAAAGCAGTCCGTGATTAAATGCCATAATGAGGGCTCAGCACAGTTGATTAGTGGTTTGGAGTAATGAAGATTTTCTCATAAAAATGGGTGAGGACTAAGATGATTAGAAATGAGAGATGTGCTTCAGATAGTGCTTGCTTTGAAAAACTTCACCTCGGGGGCAGACCAGCAGCTTTTACTGGCTCCCACCAACTTTTTTAGCATTGCAAGGCTCCAGGTTTCTGCTGGCCTATTTTACTGATGCATATCTCTATGCTGTACTCAGGCTTTCCTTCTGTAATGCTGAGTAGTTTAATTACTCTTGGTGTGGTGAGCTGAAGAAAAGAGACTTGGAAGATTTATTAACTCTTTGCTAGCATTTTTTACGGAGACAATTACATTTAAATCAAGAAGTAACTAAGTAAACCTTGGGATTACTCAAATACCATAGCATCAATTATACCATCTCTATATTAATTTTTGTTTTATATTTCTTTGTGTGGGTTTCAGATTCACGGAAACAACTACTCTCACAAAGTGGACATCTTTTCTTTAGGCCTGATTCTATTTGAATTGCTGTACCCATTCAGCACACAGATGGAGAGGGTCAGAGTAAGTACCACCACTCCCCAGCAACCTCCGGGGAGAGGGGGGGAATGATTGCAAAAGAAAAGAGCCTAAAATTCTCGAAAGAAAGAGTTTTAGAGTAAGGTTAAATTATTCTTAATACCAGCAGACAAGTAATTAGAAGTAAAAGAGGTCATGTGAGAAATACTGAGAGGATTTGAAGACTGTTTGCTTCCATTTAGAGTTTTAATCTTCAAAAACCGTTTAGTGGAATTTTTTCTTTGCTTAAATTTGTCACTTAAACAATGTCTTGTTTAATACATTTGTGATAAATGCAGGGTAGGGGAAAATGTGGGGTAATATTGTGGGGGGCAGCAGTAATGGTGGTAGTGCTTGGTCAGAGAAGAATTTTCCAGAGGACAAGTGGCCACGTACGCCTACCCTTACGAGCTACCAAATTACACATAATTCACTTTCTTTTTCCTTTAAAAGTAAACCATAATGGAATCTTTTAAGGCAGATAGTACTAAGTCTCTTAAAGTAGTCCTTTGTCACATTCTTCCCGATCCTCCATAAACGGTCACCGTCATCTCTTCTAGCTGTTGTCCCTCACGCTTTCCTCCATATATCCAAAGTGTATGCCCTTTTCAACATTTCATCCATTTTAGACCTTGTCTATTGACTTCTGGCCATGGTAGAACAGAATGAAGTTCTCCCATAGAACCAAAGGACTCACATACTCTAATTGAAAGGACCTACCAAGTGTTTTGTACAATAAAGGGAAAAAACAAAAATGGCTAAATTTCAGAATATCAATGATAAAGGCCCTAAAAGTATCTACAAAGGGAAGTAAAACAGGTCCAACATATGTGAAGGACTGAGAATCAGAATGACATAAAAATGTATGTAGTTCTAAGTGCATTAAAAGACTGTCAGAAAATGAAAAGACAACCTACAGGAAGGAGAAAAAAAATTACAAATCATATATCTGATAAGGGTCTAGTATCCAGAATATATAAAGAACTCTTATAATTCAACAATAAAAAGACAACCCAATTTATAAATGGTCAAAGGATTTCAATAGATATTTCTCCAGAGAAAATATACATATGGCCTCATGTCACTTTAGTTTTGTGTCTTTCACTGCACATAAATTATATTTCAATAAAATGTATTTTTTAAAAAAATAATAATGCATATATGTATACACACACACACACATTTTCTGGTTACCTAGTGCTGCTCTGACAAGAATATACCACAAATGGGATGGTCTCAACAAACAGGAGTTTATTCTTACAATTTGGAAGCTTTAAGTCCACGTTCAAAGTGCCAAGCCCTAGGGGCTGGGTGAAAGCCCCTCAACCTTGGGATCCAGCTCTGCCTCCTGCTCCCGGCCCACTGGAGCTACAGGCATTTCTTCAGACAGCTGCTGGCTGCTGAGGCTAAGAAGCCCAAGGTTGACAAGTAAAAAGGCACAGCCTTTTTGTTACCAAACCACATGGCAGGCCATTAATTCAAGTCCATTGAAAGTCCCAAGGTTGGCATAGCAAGGCAGGCTGCTGAACAACAACATGGCTACATGCAGGGTTCAAGTGCTCCATATGCTGGAGACCGTTCCCAAGGCTTCTCCTTATACACAGGAAGCAGACTACATCCCTAATGCGGCCACTCAACTGCTTGTGGTAGTTCCCACAATGGAGTTGATTGCCAGTCTCATCACGGGGAATAACTACCACCAGCTGCCAGCCACTCAACCAGGCCCAGCCAAGTTGACACAAAAACATAACCATCACAATACATACGGCAAAGAGTACATGAAAAAATGCTCAACATCATTAGTCCAAAGGGAAATGCAAATCGTAATGAGATACCACTTTTTATCCCCTTGTTGTTAGTGTTGTTAAGTTCCCCTGAGTTGATTTTGACTCACAGACTCCAAGTGGCAGAGTAGAACTGCCCCATAGGAATTTCTAGGCTGTAATCTTTACGGGAGCACATCACCAGGTCTCTCTTCCATGGAGCTACTGAGTGGGTTTGAACCACCAACCTTTCAGTTCGCAGTTGAGCACTCAACAAGTTTACCACCAGGGCTCCTTTCATACCCCCTAGAGCTGGCTTAATCATGCAGCCAACAATAATAAATATTGGTGAGATTGTGGAGCAATTGGAACCGTTGTACATTGCCAATGACATTATAAAATGATTCAGCCAGTTTGGCAGTTTCTCATATGACCCAGCAATTCCATTCCTAGGTGTATACTCAAGAGAATTGAAAATGTATGTCCACATAAAAACTTGTAAACAAAAGTTCATAATAACATTATTCATAATAGCCTAAAAGTAGAAACAACCTATATGTCCATCAGTGAATGAATGAACAAAGTGTGTTATATCCATATTTGGGATATTATTTGGCAATATAAACAAATGAAGTACTGATACAGACCACAACATAGATGAACCTTGAAAACATTATGCCAAGTGAAAGACATCAGATGCAAAAGACCGCATGCTATATGACAGAGAGCAGATTAGTGGTTGCCAACGTACTTTGGTCATGTTGTCAGATGGAACCCATCCTTGGAGAGGAATATCATTCTTGGTAAAGTAGACGGTCAGTGAAAAGGGGGAAGACCTTCAACGAGATGGATTGACACAGTGTCTGCGATGATAGGTTCAAGCACAGCAAGGTTTGTGAGGATGGTGCACGACTGGGCAGTGTTGCGTTCTGTTGTGTGTAAGGTCACTGTGAGTAGGAAATGACTGGACAGCACCTAACGACAGCAGTAGGGACTGGAAAAGGGGAGTATGGAAGGTGACTGCTTAATAGATACAGGGCTCCTTTTGGGTGATGAAAATATTCTGGAATCAGATAGTGGTGATGGTTGTACAATGTG